TAGCACTTGAACATTTAGTACATCTCTGATGTATAATTCCTCTAAGGTTCAACTGCAAAAGAAACTTGGTGATCCAATTTTGCCAGATCATTTGGTGGGGGGTCTCACACCATACCTACCCCCCCATTGTGGGGTCTCTGCACCAGATATATACCCCCATGGCTTTATGTCTCAGGCCTATGTCCCCTCACATCCAATCTTCATACCGACTAATCCCAAACTCCTGCACAAGAGCCTTCATATTTTTAGATGCTTTGGGACACCCTATAGCTCTAAGTCAGCATTAGGCAGGCTTCATACTCAAGAGATTTCTTGAACATCATTTTTATGAGCAAGTACACTTAGCTAGACCAAAGACCAGGTCTCAGGAAAGTCCAGTAGAGCCCACAGAAGGAAGATGTGCAAATGGACAATAGATGCCCAAAGGAGATGCATGGAATTTAATGAGAAGTAGGCCATAAACTGAGTTTCTCGGTGATATACACTGAGGTTCCCTTTCCCCTACCAAGGCCATTCTTGTTCTCACCCAGAAGTCATATTTACAATTTCAAAATATTATTTCCATATAAATAAAGATTCTCACCCTGTGGCTGGACATTTGCTTGCACCGTGGGCCTCTTTCTTGGCGTTAGTGCTGGCTGAATGGGCAAGATTCCCGGGTTCGGTTGCGTCTGCCCGGCTTTGGGTCTTTGGCGTGGGGTGATAGAAGTTTCCGTTGTAGGAATCGGATCCATCAACCTGGGTGAAGAAGGGAAAAACAATCACATAAAGAGATTTTAGAACAATGGGACAAGTGTAATGTCCTCTCACAAAAACTGGAAGCTAGTTATGACCCCAAATCCTTGGGACACCCCCTTATTCATTGCAGCTGGGAGAAAATCATTCTCTAGGGTGGTGGTAGGGGGAAGCATTCAGAAACATACAGAGATGGCCACAAAATTTCCAGTTGAGCAAAGCAAATGTGCAAATTAGAGAAGGCGTGCAATTTTATGCGACTCAATCTCCCCTGATTTGCATAATTGGTTCCAGCTGCCAAACTGGAAATTTGCAGCCATGGACCTATGCAGTTTGATCCCTTACAGTCCAATCGATTGGGCAAGACTAGGAAGTTTGACCGCAAAGGTGCAAAGCAGGAGGAATCAGCTCTGTCATTGCATCTATTGTTCCACTAACACACTAGCCATCTGTGCCCCCAGAAACCTGATCCTCCATGAAAACCATACATGCGATAAGAGAATAATGTAAGTCATCACAGTACGAAAAAATACTCCAGGTTCTTCACTCAAGAATTGGAGCTATTCTACATCAGAACGCAACAAAAGCAGGTGAGCATAAAACACTCCTCTCTAGGTACATTACCAAGGACTCAGGCGACAACCCTATATCCTAACTTAAGATACAGCAGGTTCTTTTTTTAATATTATTTTTAAAAACCTCTATCTCCATTCTTGAGAGCCGGCGTGACGTAGTGGTTTGTGTGTTGGACTATGATTCTGGACACCAGGGTTTCATTCCCCACATGGCCATGGAAACCCACTGGGTAACCTTGGGGAAGCTACATGCTCTCAGCCTCAGAGGAAGGCAATGGCAAACCTCCTCGGAACAAATTTGGCCAAGAAAGCCCCATGATAGGTTTGCTTTAGGGTCACCATAAGTCAGAAACAACTTGAAGGCACACAACAACGAAAGCAAAACTCCACTCTTGCAGCATGAACTAACACTAACTCTCCAGAATTTGAACACTTTAGGTGCAACTATCATTTCTCAACTGTTTGCTGGTGTACATTAAGACAGACAAATGTCCTTACCTGGCTTTTGGCTGGCTCTTCTTAGCAGCAGCTTCACTAGTTTTCACTGGCTCTGGGAGTTTGGCAGGGATTGGAGAATTCTGCAAATGAAAAGCCCTGTACTTGTTAAATATATACACGCATGTGCATGCACCAACACAGAAGAAAGATATAGGAGGATCATCAAAAACTAGGGAAAGCAATGGCTGCCCAAGTGGAGAGAACCTGAATCTGATGCAAAGCTAGTGTCACTTTGAATAGCTTAGGATGCAAGAAAGGATGCAGTATGGGACGGCTGCTTTCATTGCAACCCATCTCCACCCGGAGAGTCAAAATATAAAAATGTGTCCAAGATTAGCACAGAAAATACATAATGTCTTCTGTAAAAACTTGAAGAAAAAAAACAGTCTAAAAAACAATCTTCAGTTTTATGACACAGCTCTCAAATGTTAATGTGGGCAAACCAATTCAGTTCAGCAGATGCCTTTTTGAGCAGTACAGAAAAAAGCATACATAGTAAATTAAATTGGTCTGGCTTCTCTTGCCCCACACATTTTTGTTTTTATTTTTCAAAATATTATTTTTACAGTAATGCATTTCCTTCCCACCCCATGTTAAAAGATTTCGGCATGGCATACAGATAAAATCAATATTACAAATTAAAATGTACATTTTATAAAATCACAGAACTGGAAGAGACCACAAGTGACTTCCAGTCCAACACCTTCCTCCCTTACAGGAAGACACAATTTTGTGTTTAAATAATTTAAACAGACGAAAACATATCAAACATGATTAACAAGTTAAACCATTTCAAATGATTAAAACAGTTTAGAAACCATGTGCTTTGGCATTTGGAGATAAATCCATGAGGCTCAAAGCCTTTAATAAACAACTATGTTTTGATGTAGCGCCTAATTGAAACCAAGGTCATTGCTTCCAATGAGCCAGTTTTCATCTGCCTTTTGTTCTGTTTTTACAATTTCTTGTGAATTTATTCCCAGCCTTTTCAAGGCCTCCATCTTACAAGCCTTCACCCCCTTTTAGCCAGGAAGGTCCAGTGGCTACTCACCTGTACGTTTTGGACCGGACATTCCCTCTTAGCTAGCTTGAATGCAAAATGGGAGACCTGGTAAATTTCAGGCCTCTTGTCAGGATCTGGTTCCAGCATATACCCTAAAGGAAAAGAAATCCAGTTAGGCTTTGACACTTTGAAATGAGTTGTGGGTCCTTCTGAATTTTCTCATTGCAAAATTTGCCCACTTGAGAAATATCAGCAGTGACCAGGGCCAAAAAGTCATGAATGCTTCTCATACTTTCTGGTATATGCATCTGAAGAAGTAGACTCAAGTCTACAAAAGCTCATGCTAGTCTCAAAGGTACTGCAAGATCCTTTTGCATACTGATTTTCCAGGCTAACATGGCTATGTCTTTAATTTGTTGTTGTTGTTGTTGTTGTGTGGTTTCATGTTATTTCCAGTGTATGACCTTATTTTGAATCTATCACAAAGTTTTCTTGGCAAAATTTGTTCAGAGGAGGTTTGCCACTATTCCCTACCTCTGAGGATGAGAGAGTGTGACTTGGCCAAGGTCTCTCAATGGGTTTCTGGGGCAAAGTGGGGTTTTGAACTCTGGTCACCCAGAATCCTAGTCAGAGCACTACGCCACACTTCACAAAACAACAATACCTTTACTGGGTCAACCAAAAATGCACAAAATGGTATACTCTGTACAACTGTGTTCGATGCTTGATGTGCCATGCTTAATGCTATCGCAAAGACCTGTCCCATAATATCGTCCTTCCTACATCACCAAGGCCAACCCTCTATTAATAATCACAAGCTGTCATCCCTGGGTCTCAGGTTTTGGTCCTGAAATCTCAGACCTGGGGATAGTCCTGACCCAGAAACCCTGCCTAAAAGTACTGTCATCAAAAGGGTCTTTGTATATGGAAACAATGACTTTAACTGAAGACTAAAGTCCTGCCAATCTTTTAATTGGTCTTATTGCAGCCACCCTAGTCTACATTTTTAATACGCTGTTGTTTCAATCATGCTTACTTCTAGGATTGTTTCAGCTTTTCACACAGTTAACTGTCCCAACTGAAGGGCTGGGGAAATAAATAATAAATTTACTGGATAAATAATAAATGACTCCCGCTTTTGGAGCTGCTGGAGATCTTCCCAACAGACTATCCCATTTAGGTTAGTCCATCAAGGGAAAGGAAGCCTAAGGTATGTTATTTTAAAAGGATAGTGGAGCAGCCATTTCTTGAGATGAAGGCTGGCAGATGAAACGCCAAAATGAATTCAGCAGTGATGCTCCGGCCAAGAGAAATGCATTTATTGCTTCCTAGTATGCTCCCTGGAGTCATGGGTTTATCTATAATCAGCTTCACTCTGATTCTCCTTTTGTCAAGCATGGATCCATGTCAGCATGGATTTAAAGGGAGGTCACTGTAAGACCTTCCTTTTTCATCAAGGGGAGACCCTCGTCCTGCAAAGGCCCCCAACCTCCAATTTTAAAAGAAAATATGTGATCTTTCTGGCAATTTTTGGCCCCCACACTACACAGCAAGGTCCCAACATGAGCAGAATCATGCAAAAATACCTCTCACCCTTGCATTCTCAATTGCTACCCCTAAATACTTCCACTTCCCTCTGCAATCCCTCTCAAAATGGTGACAGGAAGTGACTGCCTGCCTTTAGGTCCCATTCCCCAAATACACGGTTCTGGCTTTGAAACCCAGAGACCAAAAAAAACAAGGCTGCGAAGGAGATACTCACGTATGAGGCAGTGCATGTCGTGGGTGTAACGTGAATTGTCGGGAATGGTGAAGTTTCCATCGCAAATGGCCACCTGGCTCTCCCCAAAGGGCAAAGTGAAATAACAGAGTTTGTACAGCAAACACCCCATGGCCTGAAAGGAAATGAGCAATTCATGAGTATACCTTAGGTGCAGATCCTTGCTGTCTCCCTATTGTGATATATGGCTCTGGTGCTAGGTAACAATCAACTTACAACAGGAAACTGAGCTGCCTTGCTAATTATCAGATGTCAGATTAGCAAGAACTTTGTTGTTGTGTGCCTTCAAGTTATTTCCAGCTCATGGCAACCATCAGGTGAACCTGTCTGCAAGGTCTTCTTAGCAAGGTTTTTTCAGAAAGAATTTGCCTTTGCCTTCCTCTGAGGTTGAGAGCGGAGGACTTGCCCATGGCCAAGCAGGGATTCGAACCCTGGTCTCAAGAGTTCTCATCCATCACTCAGACCACTACACCACACTGGCAAGAACTTGCTTGATTTTAATCAAGGACTGTCAAGAAACTGCTGCTTCTAACTATCAGTTGTTCCAGTTGTTTGCCTCTGTTAAACTGAGAGCATTATTTCTGACCTGATGTATGTGTTAAACTGAATAAAAATCACATCATTGAAATTCTAAAGATATGAAACAGTTCAGGCAGGCGAATTTAGAGATTTAGCTTCCTCCTTCTCCAGAAGAGATCGGCCTCTGTCTCTGCCCTGATTCTCATCATTACCAGGCTCACAATTCTCATTGAACAATGCTTGAATCATCATATTTCCCTTCCCTCTGAGGCACACCTAATGCAATGTGCAACTTGGGTGTTGCAACTGAAGGTCAAATATATCCATCTCTCTCACATGCGCACATAAGAGATTTCCACTTGAGAAATGCCTGCATTATCATGCATCTGTCTGCTTCACAAAGAGGAAACTTAGAAAAGATTTCAACCTAAGTTAAGAGCCAGCATGGTGCATTAATTTGAGCATTGGACCATGACTCTGAAGACCTGGGTTCAAATCCCTGGTCACTCATGGAAACTCATTGGATGACCTTGGACAAGTCACACACTATTGCCTTTTCTAAGAAGTCATGCTGTCTTAGATATCCCCAAAGTACGGCAGACTCAGATGAGTCATTTTGAATTCTAGCAGAGTTCAAGCTTGATTTGCACTTATACCCATTGATTGGTATTGTTGGTGGGCCTTGGGTTTCTTGAACACCACATTTCAAATGATGCTATCTAGGGCATGCTCATAAATTGTCGGCACTTTAAATAAAAGTGGAAGGAATACGACATGTGTGCAAATTCCAATTAAAAAGATTTTAGAACTCTACAAGCAACTTAAGATATAGCTGAGGATAGGTTAACATGGGGAAAAATATCTGTGCTTTTGCAAAGAATGCACAGCATAGTCAGGCAAGAGTGTTTCTGAGCAAGGGAACAAGATCTGATAAACAGATTAGAAACCTTGGCTACAAGATAAAATCCACCCCATTAATTGAACCATGAAAACAGGTGATCAGAGTCTAAAATAAGAATGCTACATTTGGTCTGACCCCTGTGCCTTCCAAGTCAATAATTCAAGTGAATACAATTTAGACCCTGAACATAGCTGGAGATATCTGTCCTGGTGGTATCAGAAATTTTTTTAAGGTCTTCTCCAAAGCAGGGACTTTAGTGTCCTGGCACAAGATGTGAGGAAGACATTTTCCTCTGCTATTAAATAATCTCCAACAATTTATATTTTTAGATGCATGTTGAAAAATTACCAGTTTTTGCAAGCCTTTCTTGTGCAGCCCAACCTCCTTGTCTCTTTCATGGACAATACAATTAGTGTGTTCTAATTTTGCGTACACTGCATGTTTACAAACTGTTGTGCACTGCTTTGAAATCTTCAGATCTAAGCAGTTTATAAATCTTTGCAAAGAGACCCAGTTCATTCTTTCCTTTCTCCTTTCAGAAATGGACAAACATCTCAGATTTGTACCAGCTGAGACTTTGCCTTGCAGCACAGTGGCAGAAAAGGTCACGAAATCAACCATTCCTCTGAAAGGCTTCTCAGAGAAGGAAAAAGCAGTCCTAATCTTCAACTACTCTCTCGGATTTACACATCTTGCACTATTGACCAGGGCTCTGGACAGGTTACGGTACATGAAGATAAAAAGAAAGCCTCCATCCACAGGAACAAAGGCTTATTACAATGTAAATTTAGTGCTTATGAAATATTAAAGACAAACATATCTATAAAACACATTAATAAAACATCCTGGCAAATATACCTCATTATATTGCTAAATATACACCCTGGACATCAAGGGCTCACCCCAAATGGGAGGTTGGCGGTCCAGAGATGAGTAGGGCTTATTTTGAGTTAAAGGGGAAGAGAATGCTATGTCTCATCCAACTCCAGAGACTAGAACAAGAACCAACATATTCTAACTGCAAGAAAGAAAATCCCACTTAAACATTAGGAAGAATTTCTTGACAGTGGAACAAACTGCCTTGAAGGATGATGGACTCTCCATCTTTCAAAGTCTTTAAACAGAGGTTGGATGGGCATCTATCAGGAGCGCTTTAGCTGTGTGTCCCTATATAGGATAGGGTTGAAGTAGATGCCCTTTGTGACCCCTTCCAGCCCTAAGTTTTTCCAGGGCCTACAGTTCTGTGATCCTACAAATCTGCCTGGGAGGATGGTGTATTCTTTTTCTTTGGAGGTCTTTAGATAGAGACTGGATGTTTCAGGGGTGCTTTCGTTGTGTATTCCTCAATGGTAGCAGGTTGGACTCACTGGCCATTGTGACCCCTGCCACCTCTACGATTCTATGAATTCTGCACCCACCAAACAGTAATTCATGAGATATGGAGGAGATATGGCATCCCCACCCTTTCATATGTCACTGGGTCTATAGACAATGCAAACCACCTTGGAAAGCATCTTCCCCATAACAGTTAATGTGGACCCAGAGAAGCTTATGATTCTTCAAAGGGAGACACTTATTTAGAGGATATTGGACTGAAAATCATCAGGAAAGGCTCATTGACAGACTGAGAGAGAATTACTGGCTCAATTTCTAGCAAAGGAACTGCATGCTGCAGCTGGAGAAGCAATGACAAGGAAGGTGCTACCTACCCAAATATCTGCTTTTGTGGTGATGAGTTTCCCACTATAGAGGTTGACCATCTCAGGTGCTCTGTATGATAGCGTTGTGTACCTGCAGCAAAAACCAAAACACAGACAATCATTTTTGGGTAAAAGCGGCCATTTTAAAGATGGAGTTGCATTTATCAGCTTAGGGAGCTGGGTATGTTTAGCCTGGGCAAGAATGTAAATATTGGAAAGGATGTCATATTGAGGATGGAGCAAGCTTTTTTTCTTCTGCTCAAGAGAATAGGACCCAGAGCAATGGGTGCAAACTACACACTGTGCACACTGGGGTAGCCATGCACAATCCAAAAGCAATCTACAGAGACCAGAAACAGACATGGCCCAGTCAATCCAACCTTGGATTGGTAAGAGCCACAAGGTTGTGACTTCAATCCCTGCAGGGCTCCAAGGTTGACTCAGTCTTCCATCCTTTTGTAGGTCAACAAAATGAATACCCAGCTTGTTGGGGGCAATTGGCTTACAGATTGCAAACCGCTTAGCTGAATTTACTGATAAGCGGTACAGAAATGTAAATGCTATTGCTAAGAGACCCTTGGGCAAATAGTATCACACAGCCTCCGGCCCTTGTGCACAATGATGGTGGAATTATTCTCCATCCACTTATGAGATGCTGTGATAATGCTGCTGATTATACATACTATGAAATGCTGAGAGTGTTTGTCTGCAAAAAGCATCATAAAATAGACAAACACAGTAGCAGGAACGGACAGAAGAAATATCCTCTCCCGTGATACAGAAGCACATACACTCTCTGTACCAAGACGTTAATGAACCATTTGTTCTTGTTTTAATTTTAATTTTATTTTTTTAAAAACAAAAGACCCAGGTTTTGTGGATTCCTGTCCCTGGACTTACTTTTTGATTTCTTCTTCCACTGCATTTACTCCTTCCAGTTGAGGGTTTTGGAATTTGTTGGTGGCACTTCCAAAGTCACACAGGACATAATGGCCACGATCGTGCAAGAGGATATTCTCCACCTTGAAACAGAAGGCAGATCAGTGTGTTTGTTAAATGTCTGACAAGCAAAAGAAAATCCCCATGCATAATGCACAGCCCACAGAATGCATCAAGAGAGTGCTTTTTCAAAGGCGGCACACGCCTCTCTCCAAACCCAGAAGTCTCCAGGAATGTGGCTGCACCACTTAAGGTATTTATTCTTTTGGCACAAAGCAAATATGTTTTCTCCCCCCTCACCACCCCCAGTTCTTGCTTTTTCTCCTTTTTTAGAGAATCATATGCATCCCAAAATGCCATGGAGATCAGGACTGGGACAAGGCATCTAGACCTTAATGAAAAGCCAGCACACTTGATGCGCTCTTGTTTGTTTCATGGATGTCTGTGCAAGGGGGACTTCCTGGTGGATTGTGAAAAGGTTGTTATTGTTGTTGTTATTTTCATCATCGTTGTCGTTTTCACAGTCTACCAGGTATTACCGGCTGGAGTTTTGGACCACTGATGATTTGGTGTCCTACCCAAGAATCTAGGAATCAGAGGGGTGATCTTCAGCTAATATTGCTTTTTGTAACTGTGTTGTTGAGATCCTACTGATAGTTGACTGTGAATGGTGGTGGTGGTGACTGTTGTTGCTGTTGTTGTTTATTTCACCATCTACTAGGCATTTCCAACCAGAGTTTTGGACCATCAATGATATGGATTCTCTCCAAGAATGAGGTATCATTGAATAATGGGGATGATAAGGAGGACTTATATGTAATCTTTTCCCCAATGTTGGGACTCAAGGTGGCTAACAGAATATTAAAACTGGAATTGATTAAAAACTTGCAAAATCATCAGTAAAAATATGTAAAAATTATTTTCAAAAACCAATTAAACATCAACATTTTCAAAAGAATATCTTAAAAAGAAATTACAGGGAGACCTTTGGGGTTTGGCTCCAGGATCCCCCATAGATCTGTGGATGCTCAAGTACCATTGCATCAAATCCCAAACATCCTGGGAAGATTTCCCATTTGGATTTCCTACTTCTCACTCTCAAAATGACTACAGAGGAAAAAAAGCAATGTAAGACTCCCTTCACATGACAAACTTCCATGTCCCTCTTCCTGGGCTGAGTTTAATATAGTCTTCTCTCTATTATGATAGCTTTGGGGGTGACACAACGAAAGTGGAACAGTCCAGAAAACACCACTTTGCCGTTTGATGCTGCCAGTTGTACAAAGTGAACTGAATATATCATCTGGAGCATCAGCAGGGAAGGGAATGAACTTGCATAAAAAGGAGGGACGCTGAGGGGAAAAGGCCGATGTTTTGTGATACAGCCCCAGTGCTGACACCAAACCTCTTTCTCTGTTGCAA